GTGTGTCTTTTCATACTGTCATTTAATTGCAGGTGAAGTTTAGTAAGTGTATTTGCTAGCATCGGCCAGTGTTTGAATATGCTGATGGCCACCATGGCTCGAGATATGGAGAAGTATTTCTTCCTTTCTCTTCTGGCCTGGGTATAATGCCCCATCAACACTACAATTCTAAATGGGTCAGTGTACAGTTGTCTGGCATGTTGTCCGGTAGGAGGGAAGTTAGTGTTATATGTTAAAATGGCATCCCAGTTGTTCTAGGAATGGTTTCTAGAACTGGATCTCACATCTACGTAACAAACAAACCAATTAGCATGAGAGTGCTTAAGCAGTGCTAGACACCGTTGATTCGTAGAGTGGTACTTTCAGGTATACAGGCCAGACCTCCCTGGTCCGGCACCCTAGGGACCTGATGGCTGTAGTGCTGTCCCTGCATGGGGAGGGGTTGCCGAGTATGGGGAAGGATGTGAAAGCTTGTATGTTCAATACACTTCTGTTTCTAAAAGGGCTGCTTATAAAGAAGTGCTATGCGATTAACATTTTAAATGGCTAGTAACAGCACTTCATTAAAACGCGACATGCCTACTTCATTTTGCACCGTTTATGCTGCTTGTTTACTCTTTGCCATTGGCTCCAGGAAATGTTCAGTTTCACTTTCTGGTCCATTATCCTAATGCTGCAATTACTGATGACAGGGAAAGTGTAAAACAAAAATGATTTGTCACTTTTTTTCTTAAAACTGGCCAGATTCTCAGCTGGTGATGAGCCACAGAACTCCTTGGCGCTGAACAGTTCTGAATAATTCTGTCTTGCACCAGCTGAAGGCCTGGGCCAAATTTTTATCAATAGATCCGAGTTTACATTGTGGGGCTAAGCCTGTGGTTCATGGAATCACTTGTATGTAGATGGTATATAGGACTGCAGCTATGCCAATGGCAAAGCATTTTTCAGTCTTCAGGCAGCTTTCTGCTAAGTAGAGAATAATTGAGGATTCTGCAAATCAGCCTGGATCAGTTTGCCCTAAGAATTTATTTCCAAGAGCTGTTGAGATCCAAAAAACGCAAAAAACCAAAGTGAAGTATGAGACACTTCCTGCCCACTCAATTAGCCTCCTTAGCACCAGCACTACAATTGACAGGTACATCCCACCTTTTTTTCCTGTTATAAATGGTGAGGGTCCCTCCGTTTTTCTCCACCCTTCTCATCTGAGGAAGTCTTTCTGCTCCCTACCCAGCTGTTTGGGTTGTTTCAGTGTTTCTTGGTGAAGAGGCAAGTACAAGTCAGTTTACAGACTCCCAAAATTAAATGCCACAAACCTTTAAAGAAAGCCAACAATCTGAACATTGGATGCAAGCAATGGGGGGTGGAGGGAAGGGAGAAATTCAGCATTAAGTCTAAAGTCCTAGCTTCAGAGAGGAAATGAACAGCACAGATCTAAGATACTGGGAATATAATGAAACAGCAACCACCTAGGTATTACATCAAGTGAATGTTTTACCCCAGTGTTGTCCTGATATTGATTGAATACTGTTTCAGTAACCATGTGCTACAGGAGAGTTGCCTTGTTTGAACTAGTCCAGTGTTTCTCAACCAGTGGTACGAGTCCCCTTACGGGGACTCGAGAGAAGTCTGGGGGGGTACGTCAACACAACTGAAATGTGGAGAAAACTGAATTTTTGTTTTAAGTTTTACAGCATTTTATTATTTTTGTACTTTTTACACCCAAAAATTTCATCGCCTGCCTGGCTACGATTAAGTTGTTTAAACAAATGTGTTGTAATGGTAGAAAAAAAATTGTGTGACTGAAAACTGTAGGTACTGCGGGTACTTATAATTTTTTTTAAAGGGGTACTTTATATAAAAAAAAAAGGTTGAGGAACACTGAACAAGGCTAGTTGGATGTAGGTAACCTCTGAATTGATAGAGGGAAGCACTATAATAAGAAAAATTGAGAGCTACTGTCCCCGCATACCCACCAATCTGTTTTTCCTTAAGTGTGCCCTTTGGCTTGTAAGTCTTGTTTGTGAGGGGGTCATGTTGCAAGCTACAGTAAATATAAAGCTATAGGCGATTTGTGGTATTCTGAAATTCACCTGTGTTAATTTCACATCCACAAGATTGTTGCATACAGAGTCGCTGTGGGTTCAGCCAATAATGGAGTTAAACAGTGTGTTGCCAACTCGCAGTGTACAGACATTGAGTTAAGTCTCAGAATAGCATGAAATTTCAACGTATACTGGGGGCTTTAGTTGTGGTTTGGTTTTAGAGGAGTCCTTTGCTTACGCTTGGTTACAGGAAGATACTTTGGGGTAAAAAAAGATAAGATATTCTTGGATATTCAGATTCCATGAGCAGAAGCAATAAGAAAACACAATATCCCGAGTGTGTCAAACACTGGCAGCGTCATGTGAATTGTGCGTGCTTATTAGGAAAGGAGAAAAACAAGTCATTCTTGGAAGTTAACAATACTTGCTTTGACACATGAGCATCATGTAGTTCTCAATGTGCCCTGCTCGCTTCTAAAGCTAAGATCCAGTTTTGCCCGCCCCAGTTCTGTGGGTTAGAAATCTTCTGAAGGCCTAGCCCAGCTCCACTGGGATTGGAGAGCCCGGCTGTATCCGTAAAACAGCTGTTGGAGAGTGTGGTATATTATTGCCACTCCTTCAATTCATTGTTAAATGTCTTTGTTGGTTGGCCAGTGTTTTTCATTGGTTTTTGCTAGAAAGCCTGACTCATATCTTGTTATGGAGCAGCTGAATGTTTCGTGGCCTTTGCCTGACACTGTGGGGTTAGTTTTTAAGTTAAAAAACTTTGAAGTTTTTTAGAAAGTAAATATTGGAACGAAGTATAAAGCGATTAATAGAAATACCCTGTAAAAGCCTTCCTTATGTTGCAGCACTGTTTTAGTACAACATAATACTTTCTGTACAGGCTCAGAGGGGAAGCTGTGTTAGTCTGAATCTGCAAAAACAAAGAGGAGTCCTGTGACACCTAAAAGACTAACAGATTTACGAGGGCATAAGCTTGCGTGGGTAAAACCCCCACTTCATCTGTCTGCTTATTCAGCATTTTGTATAATGTGATGCAAGACTAAAGAGTGGGAGGAAGTAGGCTGGTGAGAACGGCATCGGATAATTTAGGCTTGCTATAAAAGTATGTTTCATTGCCATTTGGGGAAGTGTGTTGCTCTCTGAGCTTCTGGAAACCCATGTCTAGGAGCATTGTACTTTAGTTTTTTCTTTAGAGAGGAGCTTAATGATCATGATAATGATCCAGCTCCTTAATTCTATGTATTGCAATAATTGTATAAAGGGTTTTATGGCTGCACTTGCAAGTCATATCATGACAGTATTTTCCATTATTTCTCTTTTCTAAATCTTGTTGATCCAATCAGGAGCGGCCCGAGGCTTGCTGCAGCAGCTGGCACCCTAGGCGGGGCGGCACAATCGGCGCCCCACCTGAACAGCCGTCAATGGTCATGATGTCGTCACAGGGCGCAGGGGCTAACTGCGCCCTAGGCAGCTGCCTAGCTCGCCTAGGCTCACTGGCTGTCCCTAGATCCAATCTACATTGTCTCCAATTTCAAAAGTGTTTTCTGTGGCCGATTTGAGAAGATATCTCTGGAGATATTTAAGAACAGGTTAGATAGACATCTGTCAGGGATGGTGTAGACGGAGCTTGATCCTGCCTTGAGGGCGGGGGGCTGGACTCGATGACCTCTCGAGGTCCCTTCCAGTCCTATTATTCTATGATTCTAAGATCGTAGATGCAGGGAATTGGTCCATTATATTCACTTTCTGGTTTTCAAATTGACCTTGGCCTTTGGTGGACATCCTTAGCAGTAATGGATTGGTTTAGAAAGGGCCAAGAGAAGGGTATAGGTTCAAAGCTCTTCCTTGGATCTTTGTTCCCAGATCTGCTGTATGGAGCGTGGCAAGGCTAGCATTGTCTATCCTTGGGAGGGGAAAGAGGAGAGAAAAAATTAAGGACTTGGAGGTGCTTGTGGGAGGTTGAAGATAAACCCATCATTATTTAACCTGTAAATTTGGCAGTGGGACGCCTGCTTCTGAAATACTGCGGCCATGTCTCATGCTCACCATAGAAGAAGGATGTTAATAAATTGGAAGGGACTCAGCAAAGAGCCACAAGGATAATTAAAGGATTAGAAAACCATGACTCATAATTAGACTCATGGAGCTACGTCTGTTTAGCTTGGAAAAGAGAAAGTTAAGCAGCCACTTGATTAATACACAAATACCTACCTGGGGAACAAACATTTGGTAAAGGGCTGTTCAGTCTCACAGAGAAAGGTACGACATGGCCTAATTTAGACTAAGTAAGATGTCTGATGTCCAAAGTAATTAGGGTAATCAACCGTAGAACAATTTACTAAGTGTCGTGGTGGAGACTGGCTGGTTTTAAATCAAGGTTGGATTTTTTTTCTAAAAGATCTGCTCTAGGAATTATTTAGGGGAAGTTCTGTGGCCTGTGATACATAAGAAGTCAGCTTAGATCAGGGTGGGCAATAAAACGGCGGTGGTCCGCCAATTAGCCCCTGACGGGCTGCAGCCACTATATGTACCTGCATCTCCACAGGTGCGGGTGATTTAGTGCCTGTTGGCCGCGGATTGCTGTTCCTTGCCATGGGCACTGCAGTGTGGACCAGTATTTGCCCACCTCTGGCTTAGATAATCACAGTTTTCCCTTTTGACCTTGAAATCTCTGAATCTTTTTTTTTTTTTTTTTTTTTGGTAAACGTGCTAAAACAGTCAAACTTGCATCATTCCAGAGGTGATGTACCTTGAAGTTTGTGTGTTTGGGATAGTTTGAGTCCAGTAGCCTAAAGTTGTTCTAAGTTCATTTAAAGGAACAAAATAATTAATGGCTTGAAAGCCAAATGGAAACCATGACTACTCTATAAACTGTATGGTACAGTGTACTTTTTAAGAAGTGTTTTGAAATATTTTAAATTGCATTTTTTAACCTTTCAAATCCTCTTATAGGGAGCTTGGACAAAACCTCCAGTAAAGCTGTTAACACTGATGAGAGATCTTGTATGCCAAGGTACGAGTTTTTCATGTTCTCAGCATATATTCAAATGAAATTGCCAGTTATGAAAATGTGGGGGTTGGAGAAGCAAGAGGAGAAGGTTTACGCATTACTAATTGTATAACACAAGTGTGCTTATAAAAAAACAAACAAACAAAAAAAACCCTGTTTCCTGCAGTTACAAAAAGTTGGTGTATTTTACTTCGTTTTTTCTCCATTCACAGCAATGCGAGTCATGTACTTGTGAAGGCAGCTCTGTATTCTTTGATGCAATCAGCAACGTGACACTTACTCTGCTTTTATAAAGTCCTTTGTCACTGTCTTGCTTAAATGGGGGGAGGCGGGGAGCTGTGTCTTCAGTCACTCTGCACATTTCATCAGGATAGGCAAAACCATCAAACCACACTTCGACCCTGGCCTCCACACGCCCAGCAACACACACATCCCTAATTATTTGTGGCTCTGCCAGCAGTTGCTGGAGGAAGGGGGAGCCAACTAAATGCAAACCGTCTTCAACCCTATAAAACTCTGCTCCAGCAGTTCTGTTTGAAAGAGCTTGTGTCACATTTCAGGTTAGTGTGAAATTCTTACACTTGACATCTGTTCAGTGGTGTTTTTGCTTATTTTTTCCTCCAGGAACAGGCTAGGAATTTCCTGGTGAATGGCTAGGGCTTTGGGGGGAGTAAAAAAGGAGAGTGGATTGCCTGGGATTTCCAGGTGGGCTTCCTAAAGACAATGCTCGTATTTATCATCTAGTCAAAATTATTTAAATCCCCTCAATGGCAGTAGCCTAAATCCTTTTGAAAATAGAGGTTGATGGACAGTTTTATTGATTTATTTTTTTGGTTATGCTTATACAGTGCTTCACTTCGTGTGTTTACTCAAGTCTTGTGTCACATCTGCCGTGGTATCTGTGCACAAGCATAGTGGCTGGCTGCGTGTAGCACAGATGTGTGTGCAAGTGCGTGTGAGCCCTTTCATGCAGTATTTCCTGTCTGAAGGAACATGCTGTAATGGATTGGATTTCCTGGCTCCCAGTCTATATTGCTCAATTTACAGTCTTGGTTCTTCCTCTGTGGCCGTGCGCAAGTTACTTCTTTGTGCCTCAGTTTTTGTGCAGTGTTTAATGAGTATTACTTCATTTTGCTGGGCTGAGACAAGGATTAATTAGCACTTAGAGTGTTCTGAGGATATCAAGAGCTATTTGAGTGCTTTGTGCTCCCTCTGCTCCTGGTCACCCACCCGGTATAGGATTGAACTTTTAACAGTATGTTCCTCCCTTTGACCAACACTTTCAGTTAAAAAATGCATGTCTGTTTCTATACTTGCAACACGTATATGAAATCCGTATCTTGATAAATGACATAATTCTTAACCCTGGAATGCCACTGGAGGAATAAATAAAATCGTCTTCTGATAGAGCCCTATCTTTCACCGCGTGTGAGTTGTGGGAAGAGATTGTGTCATTAAAACGCATTCTGAGCTACTTCTGGCATCTGCTGTCTTGCTGGAAAATGGTATCATTTGGGGTCCCAAGAAATATGACAAACTGTTTTCATTCTGCTTTAATGCTGAGTGAACAGCTGGCAACATGTACAGGCCTGATCCTGGTCCCCTTGAGGTCAGAAGGAGTCCTGTCCTTTTTCTTCAATAGAATCACGTTTCCTCAACCCTTAGTCTGCATTTTGGTCCGGCGGCACTCTTTGGAAATGGGTGTGCTGTGATAAAAGATCCACGGTGGGGCTTTGGTTGGCTGGGACACTGACTTGTGTTCACGCTGCGGAGCTAAAAATTTGTTGCGTAGGCATTTGGGTTTTGGCTAGAGTTTTAGCCCAGACATCTGCCCAGCTGCTTTACAGCCTTGCAAGCTCCAGCCAGCTAATGCAGGCCAGCTGTGGGTATTTAAGGCATGTGGAGACGTACCTTGTATCTTCTCCCAGCATGGCCATGTGCCTGACTTTCCGAGCGCCTTATGCAGGACACCTAAGACTTGGCTTATGTAGGCCCTCATCTGGCAAAGCTCTTAAGCCCCTGCTAAAGTATTGGGATTAAAGCATCCGCTCCAGTGCACTGCTAAACTGGAGCTTTGTGTGTCTCTTAGGATCGGGCCCCAGAGCAGAAAAACCTCCCACAGTAGCAAGTCCTCTGACTCAGGCTTCTGCTATGGGACCAGGAACCACCATGCAGATTTTCCGGCTTGACCTGGAGGCCAGACTGTGACACCCAGTGACAGGATGGGTCTCCGAGCCTAGATTACAGAGTGAGGGGGAATATCTTCACTGCTACTTAAAGCTCCACAGCATGAGCCTCGCGAGTCAGTCCCTCAGGCTCTGAGACTGGCTACTGTGGGTTTTTTTTGTTTCTTGATGAGTTATTTGTGGTGTGGACCTTGTCACACCCGAGGTTAATGCTAGTGCCAGGCTCTCTCTAGTGCATTAATTAACTCATGTTAAAATAACACTGTTGTTCCCCTTCTCCTAATTTGTCCATTTGTCTTTAGACTGTGACCACCAGAGGGCAGGGAGGACCCCTTCTCGTATGTCTGCAAAGGCATTATTTATGCCGCACCATATGGGGACTAGCCTACATCATCAATTTCCCAGTAATTATTTTGATTATTGGGTCAAGACATTAGGCATGAATACACACAAACCCTGCAACATGCTTGGGGTGAAATTAATCTTGAGATGCCATATTGTCAGTGGTGTGACCATGAGGTTTTTCCATTGCTACAGATAAAGTCCAGACCTAGTGGATTCATAACAGCTCTTTGGCGAGATTCTGTAATTTTGGGTTTTCAAGAGCTGACTAATAAATCAGAAATCAGCCCTTTGCCCCATTGGGTATCTGTTTTAAATAGGTAGCTTTTTGTGCATGTGTGCAGGGTGGTTCTAATTCAGTTATTTGTATCTTGGTCCATTTGACTAAAGCCAGATCTACAAGACAGGGGATGGTCGAATTAAGATACACAACTCCAGCTACGTTAATTATGTAGCTGGAGTCAACGTACTGTAATTCAAGTTTTCACATGGTCTCCACAGCGGGAGGTCTATGGGAGCAAATGCTCCAGTTGGCTTCCTTTTCTCCTTGTGAGGAGCAGGAGTATCTGCACTGATTGGGGGGATGCCTTTTGAGTTCAATTTAGCAGGTCTTTACTAGACCTGCTAAATCAAACTCCGGAAGATCGATCACTGCAGTGTCAATCTTCCACATAGTGAAGACAAGCCCATATACAATACCAGATGTGCTGGTCAAAACACTGTGCACTACATATGTCTTGTCAGTTAAGAGTGCTTCTTGTGAATACCTAGTGGCTTCCTTGGCTTGTAATGGGTGCATGATGGAAAACCCTGGGAACTGAAAACTTCTATTACCCACATCATAGACAGCAGCAATACAAGTTTTCTTAAACTGCTCAGCACAGGTGATCCCCCGTTCCTAGCTGGAACAAGTACTTTTCAGCCAAAGAAATAAACGTGTACACCACTGAAGTATAGTCACTGCTTAACAGCGCATAGCACCTACCACCACACAAATTGTGGATGGAAGTGAATAATACTGTGTTTAATTGAAGCCCAAGGAGAATTTAGATAGGCATAATATAATTATCCAAATGAAAAATTGGTCCGGATATTGCATAGAATTGCCTCTATGCAAAGCCCCTGGCTCTCTGTTACTGCTGTTTAAACAGATACGAATATCTTGCAAACATGCCATGAATAATTAAGGCATTCAGATATTATGGTAATGGACCCTATAAGTACTTAGACTAATCACAGGTGGCCAGTCTTGGTTTCCCGTTGCATCCAAAAGAAATAATTGACAAATACTGTAGAAAAGTGAGAAGTAATTATTGCAATACCCCATCTGATACTTCCCTACATATGTTTTTGACCATAAGTAAAAAAGTGAGAGAGTTCATGACTAAATCTAAGCCTTAACTTGATTACTGTGCTTTTGAATGGGAGGAAGCAGAATCTGGTGTTATGGAAAGGGTAGACTGTATAAAACAAGTGGCTTTTATACTTCCCTTAAAAACCATTCCCTTTTAAATCCTAACAATAGATCCAGCTCTCAATATTACCCACAGTTAATTAAAAGAAATTCCCCCTTCTTCTTTCATTCCAAAATGATGGTTTTGAAAAAGGAAGCAAATATTGCTACTTAGGGAAGTTTTCAAGTGGAAGAAGTTACATAAATAAACAGTTGTCAAAACTTGAACCAAAAACACATTGCCAGTTAGCTGCAGAGTATAAATATTGTTCATCTGGTTTTAGACATTGAAACTTGACATAGTGGGAGAATCTTGTACAGATTGTAAAAACCATGAAACTAAAATCAAAGTGGAAGTTGGAGGAAGTGGTAGCTGCTCATCACTTACTGGAGAAATATCCTCCAGTTGGATAAGGATGGGCACTCAAAGGCAGTTTTGATCTTAACCTCTCTGACTTAGGTCTGGGTGGCAGGGAGGACAGGAATACTGAACATAGGCAAGTTCTGAGTTACGGGACTCTTATATCCCAGCCCCCACATATGAAAAAGGGCTTGTCTTCACATGCAGTACAGCACCTCCCTGAGAGGCAGTAGTTCTGTTAGCTGGGAAAAGCTCTTTGGTTGACATAACACTGACTGCACGGGGGTTAGGTTAGCATTAGTGCCTTGCTCTGGGGTATCAGTTTTATACCAATATAGATCTGTAGAGTAGACCTGGCTTTAGTATTGTTTGCATTTTGTAGCTTTGGAAAATGAGACACGATCGAAATGGTGGTAGGTGCAAAATCATGTAGCTGAATTTGCAATGAAAACGTGGATGCATCTTTACCCTAAAAAATGACAGACTGATTTAAAATGAAATGCCTCTGTCTGTGTCAAGTTCAAGTCACAGCCAGAGGTCCCGTGGTCCACTGGATAAAGCACTGAACTTGGATGTAAGAGGACCTCCCGAATGACTTGTTGTGTAACAAGGTAGAGAGGACAATGTCAGGTATTTTTTCAGTCTCTCGTTTGCACAGACT